CCCCCCCTCTCTCTCTGCACTGCTGTGGTTTTGCACAGAAGTGCCCCCCCCCCTCCTCCTCCACTACCACGCTTCGCCACGCCATCGACGCGACGCGCCGCCGCCGCGGCGTTTGACCTAATCGCCGCCTAATTGTGCGGAGGCTGCCTGTTGTGGTCCTCTTGTCGTCGTTTTCGTTGTTGATGTTGTCGTTGGATCAATAAACGCCCCATCGTTGTCGCGCAGCTTAGCCAGGAGTAAGTGGTGATCGCTCATACGCGGCCAATTAGGGTATTCCATTGGGAAGACAAAGGTATTTAGCTTAGTTCTACCTTTAAAAGGAACTAAAGGTTTAGCACTTTTAGCGTCTGGTGCCCCTGGAAAGGCACGATACTCTGAGCTGCACTTTTACTTTCCAGTCTTTTTTTTTAGCCGATAGATACATTTAAAATATGTCACAATTAAACTAACAAGCGCTTTTTGTTGCATTTTGCTGGCCAGCGTTATGGTACTAAACTTAATTGTTGATGGCTGGATGGATGGGTGGATGGAGAGATGGGCACACCCAATAAAGCAGGGTTCTTGAGTCAAGTCATCTTTGAAAACAAGTAAATTTCCTAGCACAGCTCTAGCCCACACGGAAAAAAGACGTCTATTAGATGTCTAATATGCATCTTTCTCTAGACCCCCAATGGTCTCTTAGATGTTTAATCGTGTCTACCACTAGACGTCTATTATTGATCGATTGTCCACATTTACAACATCTATTAGACGTCTTTTTGTCGATGTTGAATAGATATCTACTGACAAGTATTTTACGACAAAATTTGAAAATTTGATCTGTTCGCGAGCCAACTGACTACTCCCTCTTTGGCTCTGTATTCTCCTTGGTTATCTTTGGACGTTCGAATCTGTCACTTGTGCTGGGATTAGAACCCTCAACCTTTGGGTTCGAGAGCGCGAACACTACCCCTCACCCATCGGTTGCTTCTAGGACGAGCTGTGTTGGAAGATGATATCTTTCTACAGAGATGACTAGACAGCTACGCACATCTATAGATTGTCTACTTCTAGACGGTGCATGAGAAATGACTGGGAGAGTTGGCTAGACCTTATTGTCTTTTGGTAGATAGTAGAAAGATAGTCAATAGACGTCTAGAACTTACTGGTTTAAAGACGTAGACCTTTAAGACATAGCAAAGATATCTACTAGACGTATCCGTTGCATTCCAGGTAGACCTAGACGTCATAGACTGGTGACAGATGATCTATAGATATCTTCATATCGATAGAAGTATACGTAGATCAGATATACAACCTCAAGACCGTCTATCGATGTCTACAGTATATCTATCAGTAGATGTAGACAATTTGTACTCATTTTAGATGCTCTATTGATGTCTATAGATGTCTCTAGACCGAATAGATGAACGGTAGACCATCTACCATCATCTATAGATGTCTATTTTCCGTGTGGGAGGAAATTGACTTGTTCCGAGGATATTTACTTTATTCAAGAACCTCCTTTTTTTTGGTGTAGATAGGGTGGGTGGATGAAAACAAGCAGCGGCACTGCGCTTTGCTGGGAGGCGAAAAACATGATTCCGAGCGAAGGGGTCGCTCCGCGATAGTCGAGTCGTCGTCGGGTCGCGCGGTAAAATATACAGGGAGCCTCCTGAGAACGCCGGCAAGTGTTGACGCCGATTGCGGACGTCGTCGGGGGAGGAAAGGAGGGAGGGGTGGAGACGTTGGGGGAGCAGCAGCAGCAGTGGAACATTTGCGCTCTTTTCCGCTGCTGTCGGGTCGGGGTTGGAAGTCTCCCCCCCTCGGCTCCCTGCTACGGCCTTTATCAATGGCGTTATGTCTGTTTGTCTGCGCGGGGTGGCGCCGCGTGGCGCCACGATGCTCGTTAGCATGCTTGTTACGCCCGTTTGGCGCGCGGGGCGGGGCGGGGCCGGGCGGGGCGGGCCCGCCAGGTGTAATTATCGTGTCCCGATTGTTATGTGACGCGCGCCTGCGTCTGATCCCCTCCTCCGCCTCCTCCTCTCGCCCTCGCCATCACCCTCCTTACACCGCCCCCTACACCTCCCCCCGTCCTTGTCCCATGGCCTTTACATGAACGCCCCCGGGGGAGAGTATCAGAGGGAGACTGAGACTGCACCCAAAAAAACTATGGAGGGATTTGCCTTAATTTTCAATATACTAATGTTATTCCTTCATGCCCCTATTCACGCTCCGAAGAAGTAATTTTGTTTCTTAACGTAAGGTAAGGGCGATGTTTTCCGAAAACCTTCAGCCCTATTTGGATAGAGAACTTTTCTTTTCAGGCTGCCAAAATAAGCCCTCCAAAAAGAAAATGTCCAAACTGTGTGTGCTGGGTGTCCCACTGGAGGCTCCTTTCGTGCCGTCGTTGGCCATGGCTTCTGCGTAACTATATCTCTCGAGTCGAACTCAAAGTAAAAGAATGATTTTTTGCGGGTTGTGGGCGATCACCGGGCGTGCCGCTGACCGCGATATCGCTCTCATCTACAGCCGACAATAGCGCGCCCGCAGGTGAAGGACCCCAGGCGGCCCCCCGGTGTTTTGGCTGGAGTGGCCGCCCCCGTCCCGCCCGGTCGAGCGGTCGGTGTCCGCCAATCGAACCAAACCCTGGCACGGCTACGCACACCTCTGGACTGCGTTAGAGTAAGTGCTCTCTCTCTCTCTCTCTCCCCCCCTCCCTCCCTCCATCCCTCCCTGCACTTTCATTGTAGTCGCAGGTGAGAGAGAGAGAGAGCCGTGACGGTGACTAGACTGGGGTCCGGACCCGGGCCCCGAGCCGAGCGCTCCGGGGGCAATCCTATTAGCGACTGTTGCGCCCGCTGGCCGGTCCAGCAGCGCGGCAAAAGAATGGGAGGGTGACGAGGGGGCGGGGGGTGCTGGTCGGGTGGAGGCTGGACTCCCCCCCCCCCCACTCCATTCCCCGCGCTGTTAAATATCAATCCCCGGCCTGCAAACACACACACAATATCCGTCAACGGGCACGCAGCATTAAAAATCACGTCGTAAGCAAAATCCTGGATTAATTGAAGAGGTTGGTGGGTTGGTGGTAGTCACTACCATAGTAGCAGGTAGTGGCTGCTCAACGGTAAATAACTAAGTTACGTCCCGAGGATCGCGTTTAGTGTCGTGGTGGAACGAGGAGGTTAAAACCGCGCCCGACAGGCAGGCCGCCTGCGTGTGGCTGGCTCGATTTGTTGTTGGGAGGAGGAGAGGGACCCCAGAGAGGCTCTTATATGCGTGTGGGTGAGAGAGAGAGAGAGAGAGAGAGAGAGGAGGTGGGGGGG